CAGACTGCACCACAGCGCCATCTACAGCTCAAAAGACATATCAGTAAACATCAGAATGCCAGCAATACATTCATTACATGTCAGCATATGCTGTTGTATTTCCAACATAAACAAGGCGATGGAAAGAGCAACAGCAATATAGGGATCTCAACCGCAGCAGCCAGAACCACTGTTTAGATGAGATAAGACAATGAACAATGATTGTTGATAGGCTGACAAAGGTGAGCATTCGTTTCACATGGCAGCTTGCTACCCCTCTCCATTCCTCTGTAGGCTATTGTTCACATTCCGGCTTGTTTGTCCTTTGTGCAACGTGTTTATATGTACCAAGGATTTACATAATCCCGGTTTTAGACAAAGTGACAAATGTATTTTGTACAGAAGGTCACCTGATGTCCCTGACAGCGCTCAAGGTTATTGCTTTTTTTATTGTCCTCCTGTAAGCCGTTCTTTCTGTGATGTTTATGGTACAATTGTCAGACTGACAAACCGATGCGGGCAGATCATGTCCAGGTCTGCAGTGACCTTTCCGATTATAAAAATAGCGTAAAGGACAGGAGATCGCTGAACGCCTCATCTGTGCGCACGCTGCACAGTTAGATCTGCCTGTTGTGGCACCCAGAGAGATCAGGACCCTTGGTCGTGCTTTTCTACCACATGCGGTAAAACGGATCAGAGGGCCGGCATTGTGACAAATGTTGTATTCTGATATCTGTATGTTAATAATAATTGTAACATTATTCGGTATATGAATTCTTTCTTTTTAATTTTACATGCTATCATACAGTATTATACGCATGCGCAGCGTATTGCATCAGGGTGTGCACCCAAAAGCACAAACACACACAAGATGGTAAAATACTACTTATATTACTACTGTTCTATATGTCCTCTGCAGTTCATTGCTGTCTGATGGCGCCTGCAGTCTGCCTTCTTCTGTAGATTGCTGCGTGGACTCAGACTATAGCAATGTATAAAAGCTGGGCCCCTCACCTGTGCCATACTGCCACCCCTGGGCTCCTCACCTGTGCCATACTGCCACCCCTGGGCTCCTCACCATTGTCATATTGTCACCCCTTGGTCCCTCACCTGTGCCATACTGCCACCACTGGGCCCCTCACCTTTGCCATAGTGCTACCTTTGGGCTCCTCACCTGTATACTTTTGCCACCCCTAATTCCCGCAATATCGCGGCTATTTACCGCGCGATATTGCTCTCCAATGCAATCCAATGAGGCTCTGTCCGTCGCTGTCGCGGGTCGTGCGTCGCTACAGCAGGACCCTTTTTGGAGCGGATTTCGCCGCGATTCTAGGTTGCTCAATGCAACCATTTGCGTGATATCGTGCAAAATGCAAATGGGGCCTAAATCTCCTTACTTCCAAAGAGAACATATTTAACTTTAATGGTTGATGAGCATTCGTTGCTTTCTCTTGCGGAAAGTGCGATTTTGTCTTGCGTTTTCTTCCTGCGTTCTCTTGAGTAAGATTTTGATCTTATTCAGAGTTTTGCTTGACATCGTTTCTTCTACATTCACATTCTACATTTTTCTATACAATTCTTTATATATATTATATATCTTGTAGAATGACTGCGTTCACAAAGCTGACACGTCAGCATAAGGAAGGATACTCGTTTTGAAAAAAGTGATGGTTATTTTCAGCCGAGTCCAATCAGATGTGAAAATAACAGTCACATGTCTAATATAAAAATCCTTTTGTCTTGTGTTAAAGATTTGTGACGAGAGCCTATAGTGTTTTATAACAATTCATTGTAAAGAGCGTCTTAGTACGGTTCAGTAACCACGTCAAAGACCTCTTCATTTTCCTTTCACATGGTGTAAAGTAACAAATAATAATCACGTCTACCTTCTCCCCACAGAATGTTTTTTCCACGCCTCAATTTCGTCTTCGTGCTGTTGCTCTCTGCTATAACACTCATTCCGGATGAGAAGACCGCATTCGAGGATACCACCATGCTGGAAAGGGCTGCGGAGATGTGGAGGATGGAGGTGGAGATCGAGACAATGTTTTATAACATTGAACATCCACCTCCAGAGCCAGCCCTGTTTCGGCACATTTTCGTAACTTCACGAACATTCGTTATGATGAAGTTAAAAAGCAAAAATACCTTTGTTAATATTGGAGTCGATGTGGTAGTTGTTTTTTTTATCCGAAATACGAATTCCGTTAACGGATTCCGTATCCGAATTCCATATTTCGGACTTTAAAAAAAACTACCATCAACTCCAATATAAATGTACTTTGCTTTTTACCTTCAATATAACAAATGTTCGTAATGGAACGAAAATACGTCAACGGAATTTCGTATTTCCTGCCTGTGTTTGTAATGCAACTCTCAGCAGCAGCGGATCCGTATTTCGGATTTAAAAAAAAATCTTGTCATGTTGTTCAACCTCATTTACAGGGGTAATATTAGTTCCTGTTTCAAAGAAATTCGGATCCGAAATTCGTTAACGGAATTTCGTATTTTGGATATAAATTCGGAAACTGCCATTCGGATTTCGTATGCTTACGAATCTACGAATTTCAGGAAAATTCGTACGAATTTCAATTCGTAACGAAACGAATCGCACATGTCTACTAATCTATCCTGCAGCTCTAAAAAGTTGGGCACTCAGTCATGGACCAAGAGCCCGACAGTGTCAGGGGAGAGGAGGGGACCTGGTGGCATATCTCATCCCGTTGGGTGAACGTCAGCTCCTCTCTCTGCCGGCATCCATCACCAAGATGGTCGCCGGCAGGCGTCAATTAGATGACCGCGCATGCGCAATGACATCACGTCGGGGTGTCACCCAGTCTCCACTCTGGGTGACACCCAGTCTCGGGACACCCCTGCTCCAAGGTCCAACGTGCAAGGGAGCTGCTGGTCGAAGCTGCACCCTAGGTGGCAGTGTGCTGCTGATGTGGGAGCTGTGTAGTGGTGCCATTAAAGTAAACACTTCATTCATACGTGTTGCTGCAGCAGCCCTGTGTAGTGAAAGTAATCGATCACAGAAGCAAAATTGTCATTTAATGCGGAACAATATGCAGTAAATTTTGGATTCTCAACCATTGTGAAACGTGAAGTCTCAGCAGACCCTGAACTCACCATAATTCTGACCAGGTTTGCTGAGTAATTCATAGCACACAATGTAAATGATATGCACAGGTGGCTGTCCCACCCAACACCTGGCAACCAGCAGAGGTACCATGCACCACCAGCAACCCCCCCTCGGAAATGTGCACCGGTAGCAACTGCGGCAATGCTTGTATCGTGCATCACCAAACCCCCGTCTTCCCCCCTGGCCTCAGGTGGTGAAAACTTCAGGCACACCCCTGTCAGCAAAAGACTATAGCCTATCTTATAGAATGGGTCATGGAGGTTCCTTACATTACCCTGGAATCCCATGATAAGTTTTTCCCCAGCGATAACGCCCCATCTTTCCATACCGTAGGTGTACCACCTATAAACACATTTATCTAATTGGCCGAATACCCAACAACGGAAGTCTACACCCTTTAGTGGACAGGAATGTGTTAATGCTGAACACGATGGCCTCTGGCTGCTGTGTGTCTTGGCAGCAGATTTGCTCGGCTCGCCAAATAACAGACGGTCTTACGGGTTTGCAAATGCTATTGTGCCATTGTATCGCTGACCCGAGGCTCTCTCTGGAGTATTGACACTGCTGGGATTAATGAAACTTGAACTTCTCCCAATGTGAGAATATAGCACAACATATAAAACTGAACTCTGGGCACAACAACTCATATTTACATGTATTCCTCACTAGCCACATAAGGTATAAATCCCCTCCTTGTGCACCAACTTCCTTTGCATATCCAGTTATTATAACACAATGCAATCTCCATCCAAGATTAATATTTAAAGCTGAACCCCAGGCAAACAGATATAGAGGCCTATCATCCCCAGGACTGGGGGGGAGGGGGTCACAAGTGTGCATGTTCACTGACTGCTAATATCAGCATCAAGTAAGTGTTCTTAGAAGGGTGACCTAGGAATTGGGGGCCTAGGTACAATTCATTGACTCCTCTATAGGCGACAGGTAAGTTCCCATTGTCTTCCTGGAGAACGGATATGGGGGGTCAGTGAATTGCACCCCGACAGATCCACAATCACAGGGGCACATCAAGTATATTATCATTAGAGAGGATGTTAAATTCATTGCTCCTGCCCAACAACTACCAACCAGATATCCATTGTTCTACTTTTGCAGGTTCACTTTGACAGTGTATTAGGAGAAGATGTCTGCAGCAATCCATGACAACCAATCACAAATCAGCTTTCAGGATCTCTGTGTTGGCATTCTAAACAAAGCTGTTTTCTGATTGGTTTACAGCATACAAGGTAATAGATAAAAATCTTCTGATTACCTTACATAGAAGAGACTTTGATTCATAGTAGGCCAATATGGGCTCTACCATCTGGTAGAACATCTGAAGTCTCCTCTGGATGGTTTCCGTGCTGATGTCACTCCGATGGGCGGCCTTATTCCTGCCGACAAGCCGCGCCGTCATGGTTTCGGCAGGACAGTCCAGGTACAGCACCACGTCTGGTTTTCCGAGCTGGTGAAAAAAAAAAAAGAACATTGTATTAGATGAAAAATGAATAGAAAAATACTATGCATGGGTACCGGTCTTCCTTAGTCGGGTACTGTGTCATATAACAGATTTACTGAAGACTAGATTGGGATTTTTAAACTTTTTTCAGTCTCAGCACCCTTTAAAAGGACCCAAAATCTCCAGCAGCCCCAGTACATAATGTAACAAACTTAAATGTAAAAAAATGTGTGCCTCCCAAAATCCATACCAGACCCTTATCCCAGATAGGTGTTTAAAATGAATTTTAAGGGGGAATCCCATGCAATAGCACAAAAATGGGATTCCCCCTTAAACATAAGAGTCTCCCCTTAGGGTTAGGAGGAAATCAGGAGCTCTCCTTCACATCAGGCCCCCTGTTTTCACATCCCCCAATTCTATCATTACCCACCATTCATATCAGATCCCCCCCCTTTTCCATCAGATGCCTGCCTGCACCATGGAAAGTCATAATGCTGAAGGCACCTCTGAAGAAGCCAGAAGGCACTTGGGTTAAGAAAGAGTGGACTAGACAATGGTAAAAAGTGGTGGATTGATTGTACCCACGGGCCCCAGGGTACAATGAATCAGTTAATGGGCCTACCAGAATGATGATGTCCTTTTGTAAAGCTCCGCCCCATGTCATGTGACTATTTTAGTAAAAACGGATGCTGGTCGGCGCCCATTGCAGACATCCCAAATCTCCTGGAAGTTCCGGGAGTCTCCGGCTATAAGATAGTGGCTCCCTGACGCCCGGGAGAGAAACATCTTATCCCGGAAAGGTTTACTCTGCTCTTCCTAGCAGAGTAAACCTTTCCGGGAACCCCTGCTATTTTTTTTATTTTGACAGCAGCAGTGGGTGGGTGCAATAACCAGCCTGCTATTGGCTATTGCAGTTTGAAATGGCCAATAGCAGCCTAGCTATTCAATCCTCTGCTAATTACTGTTTTTTTTTATTCTGATGGCAGCCACTGTCAGAATACAAAAAACCCAGCAGATAGAAGGGGAAGCTTTAGCTCCTCTGCTATATACCATCATTTCAGGGAGGTGCCCTCTCCCCCATGCGCTTTGTTCCAAGAAGCCATTGTGGTCACGACTCGTACACAGACAGCGTAAGCTTTATGTTCCAGTTAGTGTGCCAGCCAAATGTTTTCAGATTGGGATGTCTGCCATTGGAAGCAGAATGTGCCGTGCTTTATATGCAGGACCATGACAGAATGTTATCCTGACAGACTCTGACCTTTCCCCGCGCCATCCAAAATGAAATAAAAACTTCTGCTTGGAGTCCCCCTTTAAATCCTGCTGAATTTCTAGGAAAGGATAAAACAATGGAGGCAGCACAGAGGATCTCAATGGGATTTGAGCAAATCCGTCCGCAATGCCGCAAGGCTTTCCGAGGCTCCTCGTGTGTGACAAACGCAGCGTCCTCAGCGATTACGGTGCGCGATCAGCTGCAGGTGGAACAAAAACCCGTCTGTCCCTCTGTGAATGGCATTTCGCCTCTCATTTGGCTTGGCAAGCTAACTGGAACATGAAGCTTGCGCTGTCTGCGTACGAGTTGTGACCACTGGCTTGTCAGGACAAAGCAAATCAAGAGAGGCAACAAAAGAAAACCAGAGACGGATTAAAGGTCACCGAAGATTCGTCACTCGCCAGTAACGCCGTCTGCTCTGTTTATTCCTCGTACGACCTCTGCGGATTGCACAGGGAGAGTCACGCTCACTTAAATTTGGGTTTTTAAAGGAAAAGCTCAACACTGGGGGCGGGGCACAGCTGGTTTCAGAGGGAATTTATTGGCTGGACTGCTCTCAAGCCAACGCGGATGGGGGGGCGGCGGGACAGAGGGCACCTCCCTGGAATTACTTTTTTCAGGTTGGGATCCCTGTATATATATATATGTGTGTGTTAATATAAGTGGCGAGTGTTAATGACCAGATGGAAGCAGAGGAGCCAGCATGTATCTGCACATGTCCTCCAGGGTGTCCTGGGAGCCACAAAACCCAGGCCACTTGATTAGACAAATGCCAACCTCACCTAAAGCTGGCCATCTATAGATTTAATTTTGTCCGTTTCCATCTTAATTGGCTGTAATTGGGTCTGTGGCTGGTCTTGTTACCACCACACGGCTCCACCAAAGTAGAATTTTCAATAGACTTTTGTTGCAGGTGCCAGCTGTCAGAATACAATAGCGGCACGGGGGGAGGAGGGGGGTTGATACATTTGTTTAATGTGTATTCCTTCGTGTGTATGATCAGATTAAGTTGCTGGCTAGTTGGGTTGTGCCTTTCCACCTCCCTATTGGTCAAGCAATGTGAAGTAAAGCCTCGAAGCCAACAGGGAAGAGTAACAGGGGGATCTGTGCAATGCAGGCAGATCATGGCTGGTGGGAGGGGCTTGCAGGGGACTGTGCAGCACAGTACCCTGTCTCAGCAGTGGCGTCACAAGGGGGGTGTGGCCCGTCATTGGAGGGGTGATACCAAAATGACTGACAGTCATGTTAGTGTCACCCCCCTCTAAAAAGTCGGGCACTCGGTCATGGACCAAGAGCGCGACAGTGTCAGGAGAGGGGACCCGGCGATATACCTTATTCTGCCGGGTGAACGTCCCCTCCTCTCTCAGGCGTCAATTAGATGGCCGCGCATACGCGATGACGTTATCGCGGTCACATGCGCGGTGACGTCACGGCGGGGTGTCACCCATTCTCCGCTCTGGTTGACACCCAGCCTCGGGGCACCCCTGTGTCTCAGTACCCCTCTCAAGACCCATCAGCTCTGATGCAAGCAGTGGGCTGGCTCTTGGGAGGAGTTATGCAAATATCAAAATGGCTTGATGGGTGGATGTCAGTTTGGAGGAGCGATTGATGGAGGTGCCCTCCGCACACCTTTCAGCAGTCCCGGCCAACAATCAAATAAATGGTGATCGAAGTAACTTCACGGATGGCACCGTGCAAAACACAAGATTGAAGAAAATAGGTCACCAGCACTCCATAAGTTAAAATGAATGAGTCCTTTTAATGGACAATGATGTCACAGAAATCCAACATGAGCCGACGTTTCGGGGCCACACAGGGTCCCTTCTTCAAGGCAAGAGATGGATTTCTGTGACATCATTGTCCATTAAAAGGACTCATTCATTTTAACTTATGGAGTGCTGGTGACCTATTTTCTTCAAGTTTGGAGGAGCGGTCGTTCCTAGACTGGCTGCATCTGTATGCACGTTGAACCTTCAAGATTGAGCATCGCAGGGCATTACAGATCCCTCCACCCAGCTGGGGCTCGGAGCGTTCCACACTAAGCACAAGAGAGGTGCTCACCTTGCACTCAAACTCTTCAGTTTGCCGGATCTCACAGGGGAAGCTGTCCAGCACGAATCCCTTGGTGGCCCCAAGCGATGAGCTGATTGCATTCTTCAGAATATCCAGAATGATGTCCTATAGAGCAGAGGAACACCGTCATAGGCACACACAGGGTTAAAAAAAACAATTCTGTCAGTGGAAGCAAAGGGTTAAATGGGATTACAGATATGAAATATGAAACAGCAAGAAATAAACTGAGCCGGATCATCCACAAGGCAACCTAAGTAGCAGCCTGGGGCCTAGTGGAGAAGATGATTGAGGAATACCCCCCTTTCCAACAGGCTGTGCTGAAACCAGGGCTGGATTACTATTTCGGGTGCCTGTAGGCATTAATGGAAATCTGTTATCCTGAGCCGGCGCCCGTACCCGCTGCAGGACCCGGCGGCTTTCACCTATGCAGAGAAGGACCCCGGCGTTGTGTAAGACGCCCTAAACGCCTGTCCGCATCAGACAGATGTCTTACAGGGCAGCCCTACGCAGCACTGGGGTCCTTCCCTTGCATTTGCAGAAGTCGGCGGTTCTTGTAGGCCCCGCTGGTCCTGGAGCAGGAGGATGCATTATGCGCAGATTGCAGCCTCCTTGCTATTGGCGGTGTTGTATCTTGACACAACACCAGGAATTGGGCAGAGTAGGTACCTCCTTCAGGATTGCACTACTGGAGCGGATATCAGCTTTGTGGGCACTAGAAGAGGGTGGTTAAAAGAGAACTATGGGGTAAGTGTTTTCCCCCATAGTTCTCTTAAGGGTCACGGGAGGACATATACTAACCCCCTCCCGTTACCCAAAGCTCAGTATATAGCGAGCTACAGCTTGCTGTATACTGAGACTGATGCAGCTGAGAAGGATCCCGACAATGCTGTTGAGATCCAGAAGCAGAGCCAGCTGTGTCCGCCACCTCCCCCGATCGCTCCTGCAGTCAACGCTGGAGGAGCGGGAGGGAGAGGAATCCCTGCAGGGAGCGGTGACTGACAGTGCTCTCTGCAGGGAGATGATCGAGAAGTGAGCGAGCGCCGGTATGTGTTCGTTCACTTCCCGATCTATTGAGCCGACCTGTGACAGTCTCATTGTCACACGTCGGCTCGAACTATGAGGATGAGTGATTTTTCACTCACCTCATAGTCCTCTTTTAAATGTTAATGGGGCAGCTGAAGACCAAATCCCCTAGACAGACTAGTGATGACCCGGGTTATTCCAGCGGCTCCTTCGGGGGTGAGCGCTACATAATGAATAAAAGGGATTGGCAGTCAGGCTGGGCCGGAAAGGGCTAGACGATCAGGGTCATCCTTATAATGAGGCAGCCTGAATCTGTTGCCTCACGTGGCATCTCTTTGGGTCATGTGGGCATGCCACCCCCTTTCCAGCCACAGTGTCCCTGGTTGCTAAGAGCTGGGCAACCTGGGATGCTCTAGCTGGCGTCCCGCTCAGTGACATCACAGGTTGTCAGGAGTTGAGTGGGACACTCTAGCCGGCATCCCCATACCCCCCCTTGCCACCTCAGGTGGCAATAATGCTAGTGACACTCCTGTAGATGATGCTAGATCCAGGAAATGAGACGGCCGTATCTGACTTGCTGCAGCTTCTAATGCACATTATAAGAAGCTGACAGTGTGCAGTGATATCAGAAGAAGCCATTCCAGTCCAGGAGAGGAGCCGCTACAACTGTACAAGACTGAAGGGAAGGCCGGAGTTCAGCCTTTCAGCCTGCGTTTCATTTATTAGTAGATTACAATGTACTTTTCTATCTGCACGTGATAATGGAGCCAACACAGTGCCTTTTGTTGGCTGACAAGGACATAGGGGCCTAAGTGCCGCCCTACCACCCGGATGTATGAAAAGCCTGGACTCCGGAGCCTTTGTTGCGGGAAGGATGTTCTCTCTGTGTAACCTTCCATTAGAAGAGCCATGTCACTAATGTATTTTCTGTCTGCGCACAGCCCGGGCATTGAAGCCAGGAATGGATAATCGGGGGGGGGGGGGGGGGGTTTTTTCTCCGTGTTGCTT